CGCTGTCCGTCGAATAACTTTCCTATCTGAACCGAATGGGTGTTATTGGGAGCGGTCTGGTACCAGCCTGCCCTCTACTTCTAATGTGCGAACTGTCGCCCGCCGCGGAGCCCGCCGCCGGTGGCGGCTGAGCAGGGCTGGGCGATGTTCTCCGTGCCGCGACTGGACCGTTTTCCCAACGCGTTTCTCTGCGCCGCGCTGCGCCCGGCTGTCGTGTGGGAGCCCCGCCGCGGTGCCGCTCTCGCTGCGCCGCCTGATTTGTTTCCCTTCCCTCAGTTATAGATTTTGCCGCGGCGTTTTCTCCTCCCGCCCGCAAAGCGAGGCGCAGGCTGCTGTCTCCCCTGCCATATGGCATGGGTGAGCATTGTTCTGCCGCGCGGGACTATTTGCACGGCGTGGCGGGGCGGGGCGTGGGCGGGCTGCACCGGCGAGTGGCGGGGGGTGGCGGTGCAGGGAAGGCGAGTCGTAGTCACGAGTTTGAGAGGAATGGAGTAACGTGTGCGCGGCGGGGCCGGCCTGGGTTTCGCGGCTGCCTTGCCGTGCGCGCCGCGTCCTTGCGCGCTGCTCGGCCCGGGTCCAGCTGGGCCGGCCGGCCCGACGCGCCGCCGCCGTGGGTGTCGCGGGTTCGAACCTCCTCCACCTCGCCATCCTTATAGCGCGGAGCGCGCCGCCCTGCCCGCGATCCGACTTTTATTGTTTTCTTTTGCCCGTCGAGGCGAGTCGAGTCGAGGCGAAAGGCAAGGGCCTCGCTCGCTGGCGCGGCCTGCTGCTGCCGGGCCATGCCGGGCTCGACTCGACTCGACTCGGCCGACGAAGCCGTTTGCCATAGAAATGAAGGGGAGCGAATCCGTTATGACCGGCCTGCCTGGCCGCGCCCCGCCCCGCCACGCCGCGGAGGCGCGTACGCGCGGGCGCCACCCGGCGCCACTGCCGCTGCAGAGTGCGTCGAGGTTGAGAATAGCAGCTGGGCGACACCGCGCTGCATCGCGACGCGACGCACACTCGGCGGGCTCACTTCCATCTCATCGGGCGGGTCGTTTAAAATAGGCGGCTTAACTGGCGGCTGTCGCGGCCGGCCGCGCCTCGCCGCACGCCCAGATAGATGACCCGATTCGCGGGGCGGGGCGGCGTTCTCACCCAATACAGTAGGCTCCTCGGCGGTAATGAAGTGGTTCTAATAGGCTTACGCCGAGTTAGCGCGCATTATAGCCGGGCCGTCTCGTAACTCCTCGCGGACAGCTGGGAATGCAGCGGGTGCGAGAGAGAGAGACGGATACGGCGAAGTGAATTAGGCACCGTCCTCGACCGCCGCCATATATATTCCGGGTCGGAACTGTCTGGGGAGTCGGTGCCGGCCGCGGTCTCCAGCTCCAGCGGGCTGGGCCGGGCGCGGAGGGTGACCTTCGGCCCCGATAGTGGCCGCACAGTATCGGGCGGTCGAGCTCCAGAGCACGCACTGGAGCGGCCGTCGGGCCGGGCCGGCTCGGCTGGACGTAACTAACTGGACTCGACGCTGATTGGGTCGTCCTTCCCCCGGCCTCTATCCGCGCCGGAAACGGACGGCTAGTTTTGTGGCGCCCCGGCCTGGACTGAATACCGGGGCGGGGCCGGCCTCTTATTGGGGCGATGGCGACAGGCAGGGCCTAGGCGGGCGTGTGTAAACCGGCCCGGGTCTGCCGGCTCTGGTTAATTGGAGAGGGTTTGGTGCCGTTCGGGGCCGATTGGTGCGGAACGGCGCGCAGTGGCTCAGCCAGTGGGGTTCCGGCGGGGCGAGGACTCTGCCCTCCTGCCACCCGGCGCGGACTGCGGGGGGCGGGACGCCGTCGATGAAACCCGACCGGCGATACCCGCCACCGCGTTCGGAATGCCGGGGCGGGGCGGGCGCAGGCCTGGCGGCGGCGTAGCTCTGTGCTGAGCGCGGGGCTGGGGCGCACCCTCCCCGCGTCCCCGACCTGTCTGGCGAGGAGGCTACGCCGCTGCCGGCTTGGATTCCCGCGGTGGATTGCACATGACGTCGGCTGGCAGGCGAACGCCTCCGGGGCACGCCGACGGCGGCCCACCCGGCCCCGCCACGCCTTCGGCACCGAGGTGCTAAGCATTACCGCACACAGCGCCGTGCGCCCTGGCGGGCCGGGCCGCGGGGCAGATGTCACATTCCTGCATTCCTCCTGGCGAAGAAGTCTCCGCGCCGCGCGCCGTATGGAAAACTGCGCGTGGAGAGGAGTGGGGGCGGGGCGGGGAACTGCCAATGACACATTCGCCTCGCCGCTCCACTCCGTCCTGCCCCGCCGCACCGCGACCGCACGCCCTTCTCTCCTGCGAGTGGTGCCGCCCCGCCCCACCCCGCCCGCCGGGGGAAGTGTGTTCGGTTGTGTACGGCGGGGCGGAATGTTCCCATGCATTTGAACGGAACAGCGCAGGGCTTGGCATGGGCTCGCTTTCCCCGCTGCACAGCGCTGCACAGCGCAGCACAGTGGCCGGTGCAGCAGCGCCGCGCGGCCCGGTGCATAGCGCACATGAAGGGCTAGCCGCCGGCTTTCTCTTATGTGTGGCCTCCCCGCCCCTGCCCGCCCCGCCCGATGTCTACTTACTGCAGTGCATTAGGACTCGACCCAATCCCACGGCACATACGTATTCCACCGCAATTCTTTGCATGCTGGCGACGCAGCAGATATGGCAGGAGTGGCTCTCGCTGTGTCAAGTCTCTCTCTCTCTATGGTAGGCCGCCTGGGAGGTAGGCAGACTGTGGCCCGGCGCGCACGTCCTTTGGGCGGGTGGCCTACCCAGCCGGGCGCTCTCTCGGCCAGCTTCTGCTTGGCGCACTCCACTGGAGGCGGAGGAGCTAGGAAGCGGAACTGAAAACTTTTTGGCACCGCGGGAACGCTAGGCGAGGACGATGGCAATAGGGACTTAGTGTGACGTGTCTTACAGATAGGATGATGCCGGCCCGGTCCTGAGCGGGAGGGCGGCATGGTGCAGCCCTCGGCCGGCTCTCCGGGGGCGGCCAAGGGCGGCGGCGGGGGCGGGGCCCCCGGGGCCGCGGAAGAGGCGGTGCTGGGCCTGGGCCCCGGCCGCGGGCCCCGCTGCAGCGATGTGGCCGAGAAGCTGGCGCAGCTGTTCGGCTGGAGGCACACCTACAAGGTGGAGAAGCTGCAGCGCTGCCTGCTGGCCGACCAGCTCCTGCGCCAGCAGCAACTCCAGCAGCTGCGCGCCGGCGCGCGCCCCGCCGAGCAGGACAAGGACAAGGACGCGAAGGAGGGCGTAGACAACAACAACGCCATCAAGAGCGACGACGAGGTTGACGCCAAGGTGAGGCCAGAGTGTCCTGAACGTTGGTATGACGCCGGCTACCTCCCTGCGCCCTGCGCGCGTGTGCGGCGACGAGGACGGCCGACACTTGCCGGCGACTGTCAGGCTGACGTTTCACTGACCAACTCTTTTTGTGTGTGTTGCAGGTACTGTACTGGTCGAGCCCACCCACGGCAGCGCACCGCGCGCGGCTTGGCAAGTAGTACATCGGGGAGCTCGGAGCTCCGTTTTTGGAAGGCGCCGTCGTCTCTCGTCGTGCAGCACAGCAGCGCGTACTCTTAGAGACTTGATGATGATTATGATTCGAAAGTGTATGTGTGTGCGTGCGTGCGCAGCCCTGTGTGAGTGCGAGGCAGAATGGGAGGGGTTTTACGGTACGCCCTGGAAACGCTACGCCCCGCCACACCTCGGCCCGGGAGGCGCCGCTCGCACAGCGAACGAAAGCGAAACAGGAGCGGAACGAATTTGTCGCGCACTGCCGCTGCTGCGGCCGCTGCTGCTCCACTCCAGTGTCCTGTCGCGCTGCGCTGCATTGCACAACCTGAGTGCTCCCGCCCCCCTCCCCCCTCAAAGCTTACGGTGCCCTGTAGGAAGGGTTATAGTGCGGGCCGCGGAGGGAGATTTTAGAGCCCCATGTTGGATAAGCGGGGTCGGTGGTGGTGGCGGCGGCTTTTGTCTCCCACGGGCAAGCGAGCGGCCAGCGGGGCCAGGCCGGGGG